AAAAAAAAAAAAAAAAAAAAAAAAAAAAAAAAAAAAAAAAAAAAAAAAAAAAAAAAAAAAAATGCTAAGTACCAATTTCAAAGTATATTGTAGATGATTCCCTAGCAGGGAAGATAGCTAAAAACAACCATTAACATGAATCAACAAATGCATTTCCTTAGCCCAATCGTTTCCATACTTCAATACACTGTGATAAGTAAAGATTCTCATGCTTTCGAGCACATTACATATTGCTTACTGAGAGCTACATGATTCACATGGAAGAAACCTAACACTAATGGCATGAACTCACATGAACAACAACCTCTACAGGGACCCAGACAGCGTCAGGTGCCTGGCAGGCACTCACTGTGTGCTTAGTGAATTGAAATCACCAAATGGAGGAAAAACTGCTATTTATAATCACAACTGCCTTCTGAGCAGGGAGGACTCCATTACAGGACAGCACCTGGTACCTGCCTTTGCTTCTGCTGATTGGCTTAAATGTCGGCCCCAAGTGAGTCGAAGATAAAGGCTGAAGAGGATGAACTGCTCTGCACAACAGTGAAAAGACTTAAGTGAGGTATGTGGAGATAGCCTGAAAGTGAAGAGGTGGGGAGGAGAAGAAGTTTGGGGGCGGGGGGTAAGGGAGAGAGAAGCAAGCAGGACAGTGTGAAGATGGCTAGTAAAAAGACCCTGCAGATGCTTCTACTTCTGGCTGTATGACAGACCATACCCTCTGAAAATCTTCTTGCAGGGGAAGAATTAGATCTTTCACAAAACAGAATTCTGCAGTATTGCTGAAGTTGCAGTGGTTAATGAAAACCAGGGTGTGAGTGTATCTGCACATGAGAAAGAGAACCCTGAAAATACATCAAAGGGAGTAAGTCAGCTCCAAAGGCAGGCCTGCTCTGGGTGGAGACAGTGTCTCGGGCAGGCCGGGGGCCCAACCTGAGACTCCTGAATCAAGCTGAGCTAAAAATGGCCCCAACCTGGTATGATCCTCTGGTTCCCAAGAGCAGCAAATGCAAATCCTCTCTGAAGGAGAGCGCTCTAGATTTATGCTCACTGTTTTGTTTGTTTTCGGATTAAGAGTAAGCAAATATTAGCTCCTAACCAAAGGTCACAAAACCAACAGGATTTTTATAAAGTTAATGAAAAAACCGGAAAACTGGAAGAGAACTCTTAAATTATGCAGAACACCATGCAGAGAGACAAGAACACAAAGGAGAGATAAGGAAGCTCAAAAGACAGGTCCACTCATCTCAGAAGATGAGAATATGGAGAATGAAAGATGCCTATTTGAAGAAATAATGGGTGGGAGTGTTTTTCAGAATGAATCAAAGAATCCACAAACAAAACTGCAATGTATTCCTGGTAGGATAAAGAAAATGAAATCTGCACTTGGACAGAATATATTAAAACAGCAATATATCAAAGGTAAGAAATCTGAAAAACAGCCAGAGAGTTGACACATTACTCCGAAGCAGGAACCATGTAGGTGGACAGGAAGCTTCTCAACAGCAGTGATGGAAGGCAGAGACGGCAGAATGGGAGAGATGATAATTTTCCGCTTACATTTCCACACTCAGCTACACAGACTTTCAAAAAAGGTGGGTGAAAGAAAGGCACTTTTTGGTAAAAACTGAGTTGACCATTAACAGGCTGCCCTTAAAGAACTTCTAAAAATAACTTCAGGAAGAAGAGAAGAGAAATGTTTTTAGAAGGAACATCTGAGAAGAAAGAACAGGTGAGTAAACAAATGGGCAAACATGTTGGTGGATCTAACATCAAACGAAACCAGCCAAGCCAATGAGAAAACAAAACATTGTGAGGCCGGGCGTGGTGGTTCACACAGGTAATCCCAACACTCTAGGAGGCTGAGGTGGGTGGACCACTTGAGTCCAGGAGTTTGAGACCAGCCTGGGCGATGTGGTAGAACCTCATCTCTACAAAAAAATACAAAAATTGGCCTGGCGTGGTTGCTCACGCCTGTAATCCTAGCACTTTGGGAGGCCAAGGCGGGTGGATCACCTGAGGTCAGGAGTTCGAGATCAGCCTGACCAACATGGAAAAACTCAGTCTCTACTAAAAATACAAAACTAGGCGGGCACAGTGGCGCATGCCTGTAATTCCAGCTACTCAGGAGGCTGAGGCAGGAGAATCGCTTGAACCTGAGAGGTGGAGGTTGCAGTGAGCCGAGATCACACCATTGCACTCCATCCTGGACAACAAGAGCGAGACTCTGTCTCAAAAAAAACAAACAAACAAAAATTAGCCAGGCGTGGTGGCACGCGCCTGTAGTGCCAGCTACTTGTGAGGCTGAGGCAGACGGATAGTTTGATGTTGAGCAGGTTGCAGTGAGCTGGGATGGTGCCACTGCACTCCAGCCAGGGCAATGGCGTGAGACTCTGTCTCAAAAAAAAAAAGAAAGAAAGAAAGAAAAAGAGGAAAAGGAAAGAAAAATAAAACATTGTGGCATTTCCTTACATTAAGTAGTTCTGTCCATAAAGAAAAAGGCAAGGCACCCACTGTGAAAAAGTGTTTGCAACACAGCTGCCCTAAAAGGGGTTATCAATCAGAGTATTTTTTTAAAAACTACACATCAGTAACACTCTGATAACATTGAAACCATCCTGGTGCTGAGTTTGGTGGAGAGTTGGGGAGGGGGATTTGTTGTTACACTTCATATTGTATACCTAGACATACTGTATTTTATGTATCAATTATTATACAATAAAAAACTTTTAGCCAATAAAAATACATGGATAGAATACAGAAGAAAATCAAAAGGTGAATAAACACAGATTTTCAACTTTATTAGTAATAGGAAATGCAAGTAAGACCCCAATAAGATAACATCTTACACCCATTTGACTGGTTAGTGAATTAAAAAGTTTGAGAATTGGGGTCAGGCACGGTGGCTCATGCCTGTATTCCCAGCACTTTGGAAGGCCAAGATGGGCGGATTGCCTGAGGTCAGGAGTTCAAGACCAGCCTGGCCAACATGGTGAAACCCCGTCTCTACTAAAAACACAAAAAATTAGCTGGGCGTAATGGTGGGAGCCTATAATCCCAGCTACTTGGGAAGCTGAGGCAGAGAATCGCTTGAATCCTGGAGGCAGAGGTTGCAGTGAGCCGAGACTGCGCCACTGCACTCCAGCCTGGGCAATAGAGTGAGACTCTGTCTTAGAAAAAAAAAAAAAAAGTCTGAGAATTTCAAGCTTTTGATGAAGAGGTAAAAGTTAAGGAATCTCATCTGTTGCTGCTGGAAGTGTAAATTTATTTTGCTGGAAAATGATTTGTCACTTGTAATGTGGTATATCTGCCCACAACACTTAGCCGTGTCACTGATGGACTCAGACCTTAGCAAGATACTGTCACTCCTATACCCCAGGAGACAGGTACAAGAACCAGCTGTCCATCTGTAGCCAAGTGGCTTGTGTGCTCACACAGCAATGGAGAGGTGGTGGGTGGCAGTAAGGGCTTCCTACAGGATGAAGTGCTTGGGCTATTCTGGGAGAAGAGAAGTCAGCAAGCAAGTGAGGGAGCGCGAAGGGCCCTGGCAAGGAGGCACGAGCCCGCCACCTGCTGCAGGAGTCCAGGTGGTCTTGGATGGCTAGACACTGGTGGCTGGGAGGCGAAAGTGGGAGGAGGGGACCTGGAGAGGCAGAGGCTGGGGGCACTCACTCCATGAGCAAAGCAGAGGAGCCCGAACTTCATCAGGAAAACTGTGGGGCACCCTGAAAGGCTTAAAGTAAGATGCCATGAGATTCACAGCTTGCTGAATTGCTATTAGAGCAGCATGGAAGGCCTACTGATACAAGGTAAGGACCTGGAAGGGTTGGAGAGGCAAGGAATCAGCCCAGGTGGGACCAACGAGGCTGGCGGGAGTTTGGTGGGAGGGAGAGAAGGGGAGGGCGAGATGGGTCCACCCAGAGCCTGGCAGAGAAGCGGAGTGGGCTGCAGGGTGCAGTGTGGGGGAATGTGGTCTGGAAGGATTCCTCATTTCTGTGAGCCCCAGTTTTTCATCTGAGAAGCAGGCTGAGTATCAGAGACCTTATGGTGTATTATGTCATTAAAGATTTTAGCTCATGGCAGGCACTCAATAAATAGTAATGGAAATATTATTTTGTGGGAGAAATCATATAATTCTAATGAGTAGTATTTGTAAAGACAAGAAATTTAGCAGAAGGGGCAGGCCTACAGGGAAGATCATGAATTCAGTATTAGACAGACTGAATTTAAAGCATCTGGTGAGACAACCAGATAAGAAAATTGAATAAAAAGCTGAATAATGCAACACAGCGAGAACTTGTCTTTTTCTTTTCTTTTCTTTATTGGGACAGGGTCTCGCCTCTGTCACGCAGGCTACAGTGCAGTGGTACAATCACAGATCACTGTAGCTTCAACCTCCCTGGCTCAGGTGATCATCCTACCTCAGCTTCCCAAGTGGCTAGGACTATAGGCACATGCCACCATGCTTGGCTAGTTTTTGTATTTTTTGTAGACACGGGATCTTGTTACGCTGCCCAGGCTGGTCTTGAATCCTGGGCTCAAGTGATGCTCCTGCCTTGGCCTCCCAAAGTGCTGGGATTACAGGTTTAAGCCACCATGCCCAGTGAGAACTTGCCTCTTAAAACAAACAAACAAAAAAAACAAAAAGCAGTCAAATATGTGGGGTTTGTGAGTTTAGTGCAGTGAGGAGCTGAGTGAAGCTACTCAGGTGTGAGGGCAAGAGAGGAGCAGAGCACCAAGGGTGATGCCTGGAGGACCCCAACACTGTGGCCCACATACGGGAGCAGACACGTGTCAGCCAGGAAACAGCCTGAGAGAGGACGCGAAGTTGGGAGAACACGGTGGCGAGAACTTCCAGACAAAGAAAGCTTCAAGAAGAGGGGTGTGATCAATGCTGCATGTTCTCAAACACTGTAGCATGAGCAAGGAGCCAGGAGGAGGAATGTTGGGGGTGCAAGGGGAGGCTTGGTTACAGGAAGGCACTGTCTCCAGCGGACTGGCGGGCCGGAGCCATCTTAACACAAGTCAGGAGAGAATGGGGGATGAGAAAGAAAGAGCAGCCAGGAGGGGAAGTAGAAAGATGTCAGAAAGCAGAGTGCCGTGCTACCGAAAGAGTTCACACCACCCTCTTCTTCCTTGAAGTTCATTATCAATAGCAGTAAATGGAAATATTGATTTTACTCAGCCTTTTCCTAAGCCATGGAAGTTTCACTCCTGGAAATAGAAAGCTTTAAAAGTCAGACTGGTTAAATTGCATTACTTTTCTGATAACTCTTATTCTTCCTTCCTGAGAGCTGAGAACTAGAAGCAGATGAGATACGACTTGTCAACATATCTCACAGTAAGAGATGAGACACAGAGAGGGGAAGGAGCTGTTGTCCCAGCATCTCCCGTTTGCAGAACCTACCCTCGTAAATCATGCTGTCTTCATCAGTGACGTAGGCGTTGGCGCCCCAGATCACCATCTTGTGGATGTAAGATGGATATTTTGCAGCAGCAATGAGTGCGGTTATGCCCCCATCACTCCACCCCAGCAGAGAAACCTTCTTAAACTTCAACGCCTGTGATCACACGACAAAATGCACAGCACAGGTTACTGCTCCTCTCTGTTAAAAGAAATTGAGTCATTAATGATCAGAATCAATACAGGTGCAGGCCTGGAGTATCAATTAGTCAGGAAAGAAAAATCCCAGAGTCCATCTTTTTTTTTTTTGAGACGGAGTTTCACTCTCGTTGCCCGGGCTGGAGTGCAATGGCGCGATCTCGGCTCACCGCAACCTCCGCCTCCTGGGTTCGAGCAATTCTCCTGCCTCAGCCTCCTGAGTAGCTGGGATTACAGGCATGTGCCACCACGCCCAGCTGATTTTTTTTGTATTTTTAGTAGAGACGGGGTTTCACCATGTTGACCGGGATGGTCTCGATCTCTTGACCTCGTGATCCACCCGCCTCGGCCTCCCAAAGTGCTGGGATTACAGGCGTGAGCCACCGCACCCGGCCAGAGTCCATCATTTGATGATGTTTTCTCTTAATTAGTTCTAGTGGAAATTGTCACAAAAGCCTGAGTATATGGTATGGGTTTGAATTATGAAGGAACTACATCTTCTGGTTGGGTAAAAATCTCAAGGAACTAGAATCAGTGGAGACCAACTACTTACATATGACAAATACAGTGTGTGTGTGTGCATGTGTGCGTGTGCATATGCATGCCTGAGCAAGGACTTGAGAACAGTTCCACAGATCAGAGAGGGAACCCTGAACTCTGCTGGATGAAGTGAAGCAGGGCATCTGGTAAAGCAACTGTAAGAAGAACTGGCAAGAGCCAGGCTGTCAGAGAACAGCACCATGGGGAGGTTATGTGAGTCCACGGGTTAATCAGCCAAGGTCTGGACATGTGTCTGGCAGGGAAAATGGACAAAGATTACATCTTAGAGAGGCTGCCAAGAAGGAAGAATAGAATGATTGGAAAATTAAAGGTAAAGAATTAATATCGGTCTAAGATATTTGCTGCTGGGAACATAAAATGGTGTAACTACTGTGGTACTATCCTGTAAAATGAACATCTGGAATGTCTATCACCTAGCAAAATTGTCTCCTAAATTTGTATGAAACTCTCCCATATGTGCATCAGGAGCTCAGTGCAGGATGTCCACAATAATACTGTTTAGAGTGGAAAAAAAATAAAAATGAAAATGGCCATGAAATAGAATCTTCACTGCCTGCTATTTATGACGGCAGAAAAAGGCAACTTAAAAATTGTCTACTGTTAGAAAATTGGTGAAATAAGATACAGTACATCCATACAACAGAATAGTGCCTATCATACAACTGATACAAATGCGTATTTATTGACATGAAAGTATTTCCTTGAAAAAGTATTCAATAACAGTAGTAAGTTGGAAAAACGTCAGGTATCGTAGGATGCCATCAGTATGAAACTGCATTTTTGAGGTAGGAAGACTGGCCAGAAAGCACAGCCTCCAAGACTTCATTGTCTCTAGACAGCTGGACTGCGGGCTATTTCCATTTTCTTCTTTATACCTACTTGAACTCTTTGAGTCTTCCATATAATCACATGGTATTATTTTGTAGAAAGAAATAACAAAAATTAAACAAGGGCCCTCCCCTGGCCCTTCCCTAAGAGACCCACCTTCATCAAATCAACAGCATCTTTTGCATCCCTTTCAAAAAAGTCTACTGGGAAATCGCGATCTGGAGGCTTGGAACGTCCATAGCCTCGAGGATCCCAGGCGACCACTGTAAAGAGCTTCTTATTGAGGTTCTTGAGCTGAGGTCCAAAATCAGTCTCTCCACTTCCTAAAAACAGTCACTTGGTTACCCTCAGGTGAACGCTTTCACCTATCAAACACATTACAGTGAAAACAGAAGCAATAACAATCTTAAAGCAAAGTAGCTAGTTTCTACTCAAAAGCGGTAAGAATGTCATCAGGAAAGCAGCCTTGCAATGACGTAATCCATCTACTCAAAGGAAGGCCGGCTTCCTTTCCTGGTGGAGTTCAGGCCTGCCTCCGACCTCCCCCTGGTGGCTATTTTGAGAAGGACAGAGGCCCTGAGTCTTCCTTTGGTTCTGTATTATTTCAGCACTTTTGAAACTTCTTTGGCTTAATCCTCCTTTTCTAAAGAAAATAATTAATGAAACTGTATAGAAATTAATTGGCTGGGTGCGGTGGCTCACGCCTGTAATCCCAGCACTTTGGGAGGCTGAGGTGGGCGGATCACGAGGTCAAAAGGTCAAGACCATCCTGGCCAACATGGTGAAACTCCGTCTCTACTAAAAATGCAAAAATTATCTGGGCATGGTGGCACACGCCTGTAACCCCAGCTACTCGGGAGGCTGATGCAGGAGAATCGCTTGAACCCGGGAGGTGGAGTTTGTAGTGAGCTGAGACTGTGCCACTGTACTCCAGCCTGGTGACAGAGCAAGACTCCATCTCCAAAAAAAAAAAAAAAAATTAATTTACCGATATAATATGCTTCTGGGTTATCTTTTCTTCTTAAAACAATGACTTACACATGAGCAGGATCTCTATAATATCTGCAAACAAATTTATGAGATTTGGTCCAAGTTATTCAAAATAGAATTCTAAAATTCCAGATTAAATTTTTTATTTTATGTTTTTTACTAAGCTAAGGTGAATAGCCTTAAGATTTTATTTTGTAGTTATAATTAAAAACCAGAAAAACTAAACAAAACTGAAATGCAGAAGGGGCAAGGAGGAAAGAAACCAAATCAGTTTGTTTTATCAGAACAGTATGAAAGAGCCTACGCTAACAAGCTGAACTCTATGAGTGGGTCTGCAGGGAGCTTGACCACTAGTCCACAGTGCACCATGTGGTCACTGTCGGTGTGGTGTGTTCACTCCCACTGTGCACAGCGCAGACGGCCATTCTCACAGAGCCCAGTCCAGGGGCAAGTCAGCATTTTATCGAAGTCTGCTGATTTCTGAGGACTTCTATCTGAGGCCACAAATGACTGACAAATAATATAGTTTTGCCTGACAAACTATATTAGAAAATGTCTTTCAAGGTCGTGCAGGATCATTTAACATTGTCAAGGCCTGTCATTCTTCCTGGCAAGATATGTCTTTCTCAAGATAAAGCAAATCATTCAGAAAATTCAAGCCAAAACCAAATGAATGGATCTCCAGCCAACATCTGCTGCTGTGACCCATGAGGCTTCTCTTCTGCCTCTGACCTGGAGGGGTTCCCTTGAGGGAAATACCCTGAAGGAGGGGCAGGAGGTGAGAAGATTGGAAAAAGAACAGTCTAAACCACCAATTTCAGAAACAAAAAGGCATTTGCTCCCTGGCCCACATGTATATATTTGAAGACCAATGCCAAGGACATAAAACTTTAAAAAATGTTTCAGGAATGTATGAACATAGTTATCAGCATGTAACACCTGCGAGACCTGTGGGGAGGGGAACTGGGTACTGAGGATGGGACGGGAAAGAGTATCTCCTCTAGTCCATTATTTTTTATGTTGGAATCACCCTAATATTTTACATAAACAAAAAGTAAATTGGGGACAGGTGCAGTGGCTCATGCCCGTAATCCCAGCACTTTGGGAAGCCAAGGCAGGCAGATCACCTGAGGTCAGGAGTTCAAGACCAGCCTGGGCAACATGGTGAAACCTTGTCTCTACTAAAAACACAAAATCAGCTGGGCCTGGTGGTGCACACCTGTAATCCCAGCTACTTGGGAGGCTGAGGCAGAAGAATCGCTTGAACCTGGGAGGTGGAGGTTGCAGTGAGCCGAGATTGTGCCACTACACACCAGCCTGGGCAACGGAGTGAGACTCCCTCTCAAAAAAAAAAAAAAAAAAAAAAAAAAAAAAAAAAAAAAAAAAACCCAAAAAAAAAAAAAAAAAAAAAAAAAAAAATGCAATTGTTAAGTTTTTTATACCTGGACAATGACTTCAATACCAAAATAATGAAAAGCTAAGATGGGAAATGTTTTCACAGATAACTTTAGCTCCACATCAGCCATGAGAGTCAATGTCCTCATTCATCAGCTTAAGGAAAACAAAGGTACTAAACACCATTTAGACAACGTGCCTCACTAGCGACAACGGTGCCACGCCCAGCTGAGGCTCAGTCAAGCAGAGCCTTTTTAGCACTTCACTTTTAGAAAGAAGCAAATCACAAACAAGTAGGTGCAGTCAGCCTTCCTACCTGTGGGTTCTACATCTGTGGATTCAACCAAACTCAGGACAAAAATATTTGGGGAAAAAATAGATGGTTGGGTCTGTACTGAACACATACAGACTTTTTTCCTTGTGATTATTCCCTAAACAATACAAGATAACAATTATTTACATAGTGTCTACATTGCAGTAGATATGGTAAGTAATCTAGACATAGAGTATAACGGAGGACATGCATAGCTTACATGCAAATACTGTGCTATTTTATATAAGGGGCTTGAGGATCCTCAGATTTTGGGATCTGAGGGCTTCCTGGAACCAATCCTCCATGAATACTGAGTCTAAATATTAGGATTATTTAACTAAATCAAAAATAAAGCAACAATACTAACACCCTTAAAATCAGATTTGGAATGTCCTAGAATCACTGGAAATTTTTCCCTTGAACTTTCTACATCTGAACTACAGTACAGTTCTGGGATTGAGATCCACTAGGCTTTATTATGTCCCATACATTGTGGGAGGGTAATATGCCAATCTAACTCTGATTTCTACAAAGATTTAAACTAAGTTTCTTTCTTTCTTTCCTTTTTTTTTTTAAAGACGGGGTTTCACCATGTTGGTCAGGCTGGTCTTGAACTCCTGACCTCAGGTGATCTGCCCGCCTTGGCCTCCAAAGTGCTTGGATTACAGGTGTGAGCCATCATGCCCGGCCTCTTTTTAATTTTTTTATAAAAAATTTTTTTGTTTTTTATTTTTTAAGAGATGGGGTCTTGCTATGTTGCCCAGGCTGGAGTGCACTGGCTGTTCACAGGCGTGATCCCACTACTAATCAGCACGGAGTTCGGACCTGCTCCGTTTCCGACCTGGGCCAGTTCGCCCCTCCTTAGGCAACCTGGTGGTCCCCTGCTCCCAGGAGGTCACCATATTGATGCCGAACTCAGTACAGACGCCTGATCGGCATAGCACACTACAGCCCAGAACTCCTAGGCTCAAGTGATCCTCCAGCCTCAGCCTCTCTAGTAGCTGGGACTACAGGCACGTGCCACGGGCCAGGCTAAACTTTCTTATCTCTTATTTTAACTGAATATATTATCAACCACAACAAATGATCAGTTCACCCTAGTTTTGGCACTGAAATTCCCACATCCTGGAAAATCTCCCAATGCCAGGCAAACTAGGATGACCGATTGCCCACTCACCATCTTCCTTTATGTACGCCCTCTTTCCACACCCCTTTCCTTGATCCCTGTCACCCTCCCAAATTATGGGCAACTGTGATTTCATAGTGTACTTGCATGGGAAAAACTGGGTGCTTTACTAAAGGAATAAAAAATCCAATTCTGAATGGTAATAGAAAGTTAGTACTTTTCTAAGTCACTTAAGTTTGATTGTAGCAAATATTAAAACATTTCATAGAAGTACTAAAATTAATAATCAATATTTGTCATCTAGTATTGTGAATGCAACATAGATTTTTTTTTTTTTTTTTTTTTTTTTTTTTTTTTTTTTTTTTTTTTTTTTTTTTTTTTTTTTTTTTTTTTTT